CCGCCACGCCTCCGAACCTCTCCAGCCTTGGACTGAGCCACCACTGCGGGGTCTCGGGGGCGACGTACTACCGGTCGGTGCCCTAAACCTGCAACTCAACACCGAGGCCGGCAGCAAGTTTTTGTCCTCGGTGCCCGTCTTCGACGACCTGCCCACAGACATGGTTTTAGGGGCCGACTACCTGCTCTCCGGGGAAGTGCGCCTCACGGTGGAAGGAAGTACCGTCAACCTCCATCCTGTGGCTCCAAGTGTGCCTCCGGCGCAATCCCAAGGTGAGCTGACGACGCCACTTACACTTCCCGCAATACTCGAGAGGCACGCATCGCTCTTCGCTGATACTACTACTCAGCTTCCCGGAACTAGCGTGCTAGTGCACCATATTACTACCGACAATCATCCGCCGGTGTCCATACCGTTACGTAGATATGCCGAACGAGAGCGGATATTAATTGACCAGCAGGTGCAAGAAATGCTTGCCGCAAGCATAATCAGGCCATCTTCTAGCCCGTGGGCAGCACCTGTTGTCCTAGTCCGTAAAAAGGACGGCAATCTCCGATTCTGTGTTGACTACCGAGAGCTGAACAAGCACACCATACCAGACTCGTACCCGCTGCCACGCATTGACGACGCTATTGACGCCGTACGAAAAGCGAGGTTCTTTTCGTCGCTAGATTTAAAAGCAGGGTATTGGCAGATCAACGTGGCTGAAGAAGATAAGTTTAAGACGGCCTTCCGAACACCATCTGGCTTGTACGAGTTTAATCGGATGCCGTTCGGTCTGCGAACTGCTCCAAGCACCTTTCAGCGTGCCATGAACACAGTGTTAGGCACACTGATAGACCGTGCCTGCGTCGTGTACCTCGATGACGTTCTAGTCATCGGGGAAACAGAAAAACAACATCTACAAAATCTCGACACGGTTCTGCAGAGGCTATACAACACCGGCTTTCGACTTAACCGCGAGAAGTGCCAGTTTGGGTTGACGACAATATCTTATCTTGGTTATCAGATATCTCATAATGGCGTACGACCCTTGCCTGAACGCATAGACGCCGTTGCCAAATACCCTGCACCAACATCTATAAAACAGCTCCAGGTATTCCTAGGAATGGCGTCATACTTGCGCAAGTTTGTACCGAGCTTTGCGTCAACTGCTGCTCCACTCACGGACTTACTGAAGAAAAACGCCCAATTTCAGTGGGGTCCTTTGCAGGATAACGCCTTCCAAACCCTCAAACACCAGCTTACACATAGCCCGGTGCTCTGCCACTTTAATGAAGATTGGATGACAGAAGTCCATACTGATGCGAGTCAGATTGGCCTGGGGGCGGTTTTACTTCAACGTGACTCGAGTGGGCGTGGGCACGTCATCTGCTACGCCAGTCGTAAACTATCGGACGCAGAACGGCATTATCATTCGAATGAACTGGAGTGTTTGGCTGTAGTATGGAGTGTGGATGAAAAGTTCCGCCACTACTTGTTTGGCCGACACTTCACGGTAGTAACAGACAACTCCGCGATTGCGTGGATGTTCCAGAAGCAGCACCTCAAGCACAAGTTTGCCCGATGGATTGTTCGGCTCCAAGACTATACGTACGACATCCGTCACCGTGCTGGAGCACAAAATCAGCTTGCGGACGCTTTATCGCGAAATCCGATCGAGGAGTTCTCCACACGAAATCGAGAAACCTGGATCCTGTTTTCTCAACAGGACGTGACCAAGGCTCAGCAAGCCGATGGAAGACTCGCATCCGTTATAGACTCCATTGGCGATGCGGGACGCAATGCCAAGTTTGTCTTACGTAATGGAACGCTGTATCGGCGTCACTGGGCCGATAAAAGCACCGAGTGTCATCTCCTGGTCATTCCTGACACCTTAAGATCGAGCGTACTACGCGCCATCCATGACACTCCCGAGGGAGGCCATGTTGGCTACAGAGCCACCTTACGCAAGGCACAAGAACGTTTTTGGTGGCCGAAAATGGATAAAAGCGTGCGTTCATACGTTGCCAGTTGCGAGATTTGTCAGCAACACAAACGACGTCCTGGAGCTCGACATGGACTTCTTACGCCGATCAAGCCTCCAGAGACAATTTTCCACACGTTGGGCATAGATCACATCGGGCCTCTTCCAATGACGACAGCGGGCAATCGTTACATTATACTCGCTGTGGACTACTTGTCCAAGTTCGTAGAGGTCGCGGCCGTGCCTTCGCTTGCTGCTAGCCATGTCATCCGATTCCTGAAAGATCGCTTCGAATGGCGACACGGTCTTCCTAACAAGTTGATCTCCGACCGGTCGACCACCTTTCGCAGTCGCGAGCTCCGCACTTACCTACAACAAGCTGGAGTGGACCATCACTTCGCGTCGGCATACCATCCGCAGGCGAACGGACTGACCGAAAGGTCGAACCAGACTATCCAGGCTAGACTCGCACCGTACTGTAAGAATCACAAACGAGGTGAGGCCGACTGGGATGATCATCTCCAAGCAGCTGCGTACGCAGTGAACACGGCGGCACACAGCTCCACAGGAACTTGCCCCTACGAGATTGTCTATGGTCAGCTCCCGCAACTGAATGCTACGTTCGGTTTGGACACTCCCGTTAAAGTAGGGCGTTCCGCTGCACGCCAGAGACTTTGTCGCGATATCCGTGTGGAGGCGCGTAGGAGGATTGTGCATGCTCAACAGGCACAAAAGCGATACTACGACCGACGCCACCGTCCCGCGCCGAAATACAGTGTAGGTGATGAGGTGTGGCTACAGCGAGGTGCGCCATCGTCTTCAAACAAACTGCACCCAAAGTACGACGGCCCTTACATTATTTCTGAGCGCTTGGGAGATAACACTTGGCGAGTACGATCCACAGCTTCTGATACGCGCAGAGACAAGAGAAAACGGAATAACTTTGCGGTGCATGTGTCGCGGATGAAGAACTGCATACGGCGGCAAACGTGACATTGGTTTGTGTTTTTCTTACAGGAGTAGACCAGCTGCAGCGTGGCCGAGTGTAATGATGACAAAGCGGCGATCGTGCTCGGCGCATACCTGGGAGAGACGGAAGACGACGAGGAGGAAGCAGAAAAAGAACAGCCGGCCTGCAGCAAAGGCGTTGTCTCTTTGTCTTATTTCTCCGCGTTACAATATATATATATATATATATATATATATATATATATATATATATATATATATATATATATATATATATATATATTACTGAAAATGCGGCCATCGTGGTCAGGATTCTATCCCGCGGCCTGCAGGGCAGCAGCCGAGTGCCTTAGTCATTAGACCACCGTGGCGGGCGCGCGCGTCACCTATTCCATCTTTTTGAACAGCGGTAGGCGCCGTCGACCACCTTATTTAAGTAGACCCACTTTTTTAAGGGAAGAACGTGCCTTCTTGCTTTCAACACTTTCCATAATCTCTTCTTCTTATGAAGCGTCTTGTTATTGCTGCCGCGGTTGTTGTCGTTGGTCATCGTCATACACACTTTTCATTTCCTTTCTTTTTTGTGTGTGCGTGTGTGCGTGTGTGTGCGTGTGTGTGTGTGTGTGTGTGTGTGTGTGTGTGTGTGTGTGTGTGTGTGTGTGTGTGTGTGTGTGTGTGTGTGTGTGTGTGTGTGTGTGTGTGTGTGTGTGTGTGTGTGTGTGTGTGTGTGTGTGTACTGCCTGTTGTATAGTAAATATGGGTCGTTCGTAAGGAGTTATCAATTCGTTCTCGACACCATGAAATTGTGCTCCTTGCTTCTGACAATGTGTTTCTTTGCACTATTCTGGAGAGCGATTTGGGCTCGTTAATGGTTCATCACATGGGATGAGAAAACTGCGCTATGAAACGGACGAGAACTAACGAAAACTGTGTCGTGTCGTCCTTAGTCCTCGTCAGTTTCTTAGCGCTGCTCTTTTTTTTCTCAATCAATTTCTTCATTCTTATTTATTTATTCGTTCATTCATTCATTCATTCATTCACTGTACTCGGTACCTATCATAACGGCGCCCCCCTGTACTTTCAAGTTAGTCTTAAACGTTCAGCTGTATTCTATGCGGTATATTTTGCCAGCAGCAACCGAAAAATAAATTGCGTTCATAAGTATATCCACAAAAAGATAAATATGAATCTTCTTTTCTAAAAAAAAAAACACTCATAAGCGCGAGTGTTCAGCCTGCTGAAAAAAAAACATGATGTAATACCGGTCTCGACCGGGCTAGCTCCTCTAGCTCGGCCGTGTACCGCTATACCGCAAAATTACTTCGGTACACGTGTCCACATGCGCGTCCGAGTATTTTTCCGTTTTTAGTTTTATTCTTTGTGCCACGTACATAAAATGATAACTTCTGTGTCAGTGCCCAATGTAAGTGGACACTGAAAGGTAAGTCAACACGGAATCGTTTAAGTATGAGTATCAATAAAATAACGCAGTTATGCTCATTCATTACAGCACTTTGATGGAAGCTAAGGAATCAGCGTGTGTGCATGACCCAAACAGTGACATGAATACGACCTGTAATTCAAAACAGAGCCGAGGGATAGGTTCATTCATCACCGTCATCTCTACCTCCTTTGTTTTATTCTTTTTTTTGCGAAGTAGCACGCGTTATAGTTAATACACTTCGGCTATAAGAGACCGTGACTCCGAATAAACATCATCGAAACTGTACATTGAGAACTCTGATGTCTTTTTTTTTTCATTTACTCTCCGTTTGGTAGTGTTATAGCCAGAGCAGGTGAGGAGATACGGGGAGCAGCGTATCTCTTTGGCCTACTGTCGAGCCGTTAGAGGAGCACCAGAAGCTCCCACGGCCAACAACGCCGATCTGGGACGCTAAAACTGTCCGTCATGAGGTACGGGGTCGCCGCGATCCATCACGTAAAAGAAGTATAACGAATCTGTTGACGTAGCTGGAGTGGACGTAGCGTGGCAGAGCCGTGACTGGGTCGACTGCTGTGCAGTCGAACGCTCGCACACTGCAGTCACAGTCTCCGAAGTATAGTCATGTCCGCCACGACGCTGTCCCGATGCACGCTGCTCGTCCTGGTCCTCCTGTGGTGCGACGTGTCGGCGGGACCAGGCCTCGACACAAAGTTCCTCATGGAGCTGGCCAGTCATTTCGACACGTCGGTGCTGACGCAGTCCTGCAGGAAGGGTATAACCACGAAGATTTGTTGCTAACTGCGGGGGTTTTACGTGCCAAAAAAAAAAAACACGACACCCAGTAAACCAGTTTGCACCCTTAACCCTTTCAGACGCCACCTGTGAAAAACTCTCTGTAGATGCGTGAAACTGTGGCAGCATAATTTTAAGATGTATTGCAACAACAATTATTATATAATAGATTAATCTGTGAGTTTTATAGCAGTTAACATGAATTAAGCTTTAATTGAATATGTGCTTATTCCGAAGATATTCATGTTTGGTTCTTGCATGTATAGAATCAAACCTTCGAGTAGTGAAGTTGTGCAAATTGGTTTCTGGTGTTGCTGTTAATGAGAAAAGAAAAGAAAAAGATACGTGTTTCGACCTGGCTCCGCAGAAGCGCCACGTCGAACGATTCGTCGACCATTGTATACTTTAGAAAAAGCGATTATAGGCAACAGTTTGGTACAAAGTGACGTTAAATGAAGACTACTAGGCAGGAGGTTTATTTCATCTAAACCTAATTGTTTCGTGCACTTTTACACCACCTAGTCGACACAAGTAGCGAAAACTAGTGATGTACACAATTGTGTACAAAGCGTCTAAAAGGGTTGAGGGTGCTTTGCATGACTGTAACTAACAAACTACAAGAGTGATTTCACTATCCAAAACATCCCCCTCATGAATGTTTTAAAGTACCAAAACACCCATGACATGCATGGGTGTTTTGGTTTGTCAAGTTTTATTTACACAACTAAATAGTACTTTATTATCAAGCATATGATCAAAGTGAATCAAATGCGTTAAGTAATGCAAATAATGGCTTGTGGAAGTCGCGCGCAACCTTTGAACTCGTGAGGCCACGCACTCATGTGTTGTACCGTATTTTCTCGCATAATTTGCGCACCTTTTTCTCCGATTTGGAGGCACCGAGAAGGGGGTGCGCAAATTACGCGAGGCTTTCGCCAGCGCATCAGAAATATTATGCCATAGTCCTAACGTGCGCAGTATATACATTTACAAAAAAGAGATAAATTGGAGCACAAAATAAGTATATACTTGTTAATTTTGAAAGAATTACAGCGCGCTTTGCCCAGCCAGATCCTGTCACGCTCGGTCTAGCGGAAATCAACAATGATCGCGAAGTCCGGTTGGGATTCATTGTATTTTCTTGAAGCTCTTTTGACAATGCTGGGAGAAACTAGGTCCCACTGACACGGCGATACACGAAGAACTAAGCGACCACCCACGATTGAAAAGGCCTCCTTCAATGGCAGGAAACATGCTTTCTCGCGTATTGGCAGTGCCGATCATCACGTTGATGTACGTCCCCTCAAAGTACTTTGCGGCAGCACACTTCCCGTTTTCCTCAGCGAAATTCACAACAACGAGTATAATTTCGCCGTATATATAATTGCTGCAGCACATCGCAAAGAAATCATCAGAACGAGGAGGACAGTTGGAGCACCAGGCCCTCAAACGCCTCTGATGCGGAAACTCGTCCGTGCCGTGACTTGTGCGTGTATTCTCGCCATTAGACAGTTATAGTTTAGCGTTAGCGTGGTAGCGTAGGTTAAAGGAATGGCGTTACAGTGCAGCAAACGTTCGTTGTGGGCAGCGTCAGTTTAACGAGATAGCGTTTACGTGGCCTAGCTGGGATGGTGGCGCCACCTATTAGGTGGTTAATAGGTTAAGCAGTGAAAATGAAAAGCAAACGAGAATGTTTGCCTACGCCACCGCGCGAAACATTGTTAGAAGTTTATTTTAGTGATAATAAAAGTAGAGAATTATGAACCACGCACCAAACGCGAAAACATCTATGTTGCCGATTTGTTTACATCAATCTTGGCCTGGATGCGTGCGAAATGGGAAGATATCTCAAGAACTACGGCAACTTATCCGTAATACTCGGTCATCGAAGCTAACTGAAGGCAAGCGAAGCCACTTGGAACAGTCGTTTGTTGCGAACAAGGTGAATCTGAATTCAACAACTACACCAAAATCGCTTCGAAGCGGGCGTCCGAGAGTGCCGCCGTGTTTACGTACACTACGTACACCTATGCTACCATGGTAACGTGAAATCCGAAAAATACCGCGCGTACGGAAAGCGGTACGGGTGACGTACGTATCCTCGCATGCGCACTTCGATTCCGGTATCACGGTACATCCGGTAAGCCCGGTATACTATAACTCTCTATTATCGCTGCGGTAGAGTTAGCAGATAGCGGGAGGCAAACGTTCGAACAGTTCCGGCGACCCGTCAACGTGTTCGTGTTCGGTAATCTAGGCACCCTCGTTCGGGGAATTCCTCGGAAGCAGGGACTTCGCACTGGCAGCCTGTTTGACTGCGCTCGTCTGTCTGCTCGGTAAGGCGCGCACCCGGCTGAAGAATCGAAAGGACCAAAAAGAGCGCGCACCAGCGAGCTGACTCGGGCAGCACGAAATGTGCGAGTGGAAAGTTTTTTCTTTTTTCCTTCAGAAGGCTGACAAATTATTAGGGGTGCGCAATTCATGCGAGGGCGCACATTGTACAAATAAACACATTACATTGATTTGAGCACACCTGCATGCTGCACGGAGTCACGAGATTTTGTTCTGATTTTTGGTTTCGTAAGAGAAGCCCCGTAGGGCCTGCCAAAAATTGCCATGGCCGACGGTATTTCACGTCGTCCCGGCGGGATATTGGGAAAAGTTTTCAACTAGCAATAGTCGCCCCTCAGTTTACACTTCATTGGGTACGACACCGCCTCTGCGCAAAGCTGACGTGAAGGAGTTCTCCGAAGGCATCCCACTACAAGTAGCCAAACTATATGCACTGGCTGTAAATGCGCAAAACTGGCAATTCGTTAAGTAACTAGTTGTATTTATTAATATTTATGTGCTTAAGTTGATTTAAATGCTTAAGCCAAGTTTACTTTTATAGCGAATGATATTTTTTATCTGATTTTTTGAACAAAAATTGCTATAGCATGTACGCAAAAGCACGTCAGTTTTCCGCAGCCACGTTTTCACTTTTTTTTTTTGCATAGGTGGCGCCAGCTGTTTAAAAAAATAACCGCTTGCCCGTGTTGGCTGGAGTAAAGGTTGGGTAGGGGTTTAACGGTACAGCTATTTTGATGAACTATAGTCGTACCTTTGGAACATACTGCAGTTCTAGAGTAAGTTGGAACATCCTGTCTGCATTCAAGACACATCAACCGGGCGAGAATTCCGGAGAAATTTCAACTTGACTTCTCTCGATCCCATTGAAGGAAAGGCAAGTTTTGGTTCGCCATGTGCATCACTGCTTAAAAACTTGTATTTGTGATACAATTGCTAATTACCACAGAACAGTGCTTGAATCATACATAGCATCCTGGAGGGCCCGGACAAGGCCGTATTATAACCACGTGTAACGTCAGAACTTCGTGGCTTCTCCAAGCTGCGGAACCGCATGCTCACAAGTCCCCAAGTGCCTAGGGGGCGGAGGGTTTTGGTTCGTCGTTGTGTTAGAGCCATCGCCTTCTCGGCTTAATTTACAATGAATTTTCGTGATACTGTCAAGAACTGTTTATAAGACACGATTTCGTGTCAAACATGACGCTGAGATGTAGCGCACCCAGAGTTATTTTGTAACGCCTCTCCATGGCACCTGCAAAAAAAAATCGTTTTGTTAAATCATTGCTAACATTTATTATTAATTTGATAGCTAAATTGGTTTCAATGTTTTAGCCAAAATTACTTTTATATTTAATAGCTTCCTTTCATTGTTTAAACAAAATTTGTTATAGCAGGTACCTAAAAGAATGTAAAGCATTTGTAAAGCCACATCGTACCCCGTGCACATCATTTTCTCAATTGCTGGTCTCGTTGTGGTTGTCGGTACATCCATCAACCATGCTGTAAAAAAAAAAAGCATAGGCTGTGCGCGTAACAGTGGCCGTTTCAAGCCATCTTAGAATGCGTACTGCAAGTACAGTTGTCAGGTTCCCGCTACGCCATAATTCTTTAGAAAATCAGTGAGGGACCCACAATGCGTCCGTGAGGCTGCACGTGAATTTGCCCATCTTATCAATTTGTTCTGCTCCGTAGCTAAGTACCGGCAAGATAACAGCTGTTATATACCTTACTCTTGAGGGATAGTGGCAATCTACCAGTCCATGGTTTGAGAGTGCTTGCGAAATGTGCTCCACCCCATTCTTATTCTTCTAGTTACTTCACTCTCGTGGTTCGGCTCTGCGGTTATTACCTGCCCTAAGTAGACATAGTCTTTTACAACTTGAAGTGCACTATTACCTATCTCGAAGCGCTGCTCTCTTCCGAGGTTGTTGTACATTACTTTCGTTTTCTGCAGATTAACTTTAAGACCCACCTTTCTGCTCTCCTTGTCTAACTCCGTAATCATGAGTTGCAATTCATCCCCTGAGTTACTCAGCAATTCAATGTCATCGGCAAAGCGTAGGGTACCAGGGTACTCTCTATTATTTCTTACCCCTAACTCTTCCCACTCTAGGCCTCTGAAAACCTCCTGTAAGTATACGCGGTAAATTGGGGAGATCGTATCCCCCTGCCTTACACCCTTCCTAATTGGTATTCTGTTGACTTCTTTATGAAGCACTATGGTGCCTGGAGACTTACACTGAAGACCTAAACCTGGAGACTTAAACAAGATAGGTTCAGCTTAAATTAAGGACGACGCAACGAGCAATGAAAAAAAAAGTGGTAGGTGTAACCTTAAGAGACAAGAAGAGAGCAGAGTGGATTAGGGAACAAACGGGGGTTAAGGATTTCATAGTTGAAATCAAGAAGAGGAAATGTACATGGGCTGGCATGTAGCGTGTAGAGAGGATAACCATTGGTCATTAAGGGTAACTAACTGGATTCCCAGAGAAGGCAAGTTGGTTAGGGGGAGACGGAAGGTTAGGTGGGCAGATCAGATAAAGAAGTTTGCGGGTATAAACTGGCAGCAGCAAGCACAGGACCATGTTAACTGGCGGAACATGGGAGAGGCCTTTGACCTGCAGTGGACGTATATAGTCAGACTGATGATGATGATGATCAATTTATCGAGGCCCTTGCAACTGATAAAGAATAAATGTGCCTGAGCGCTTTGTAATGGGTGGGCCTTTAATACACCCACTCAATGTGCGATTCGCATCGTTTGACTCCCGGCACGGTACTATCCTTCTCGCAAGCAATATTACATGCGCTATAGAGCAGCTCCTTCCGCTACATGACAGCGAGTGCGTCGTTCAGTGCTTCCAAGCCATCGCCGAGGGCTCAGCCACAATTCTTTGTCGTCATCGTTGACACCACAAACATGGTGCACATAATATTTTGCAGACGTATAGTGGGTACCACACTTCTCTGCAGAATGACGAATAAATGCAAAATTGGTGCTTCCCGACTTTATAATTGTTATGACGATTTACGGCGTAGTGGGTACCGTGCTTGTGCACCTCTGTTCCTACAGCCCCGAGAGAGTCAACAACGTACTCAGCTATAAAGGCTGTTCTTCCAGCTTTCGCCGTGACTGTGCTGCATGGTCCGCGTAGAGCGTGGGTGATTTTTTCTCCGAAGCATTTTCGAGCAACGACGTCACCCGATTGCCGCCCATATGCCCTGGGTTCGATTCGCACTCGAGTCGAAGATATTTATAGCTTATTTTCATCTACCTTGAACTTCAGCACATGTGCAAGGCTGATTTCTTGCTCACGACCAAAGATGCTGACACCGATGCCGAAATTTCCGCGAAACCAATTCTTTAACGATATCGCGCGAAGGCATGTGCACGAACGAGGACGACTTCACCGTACTAGTTTTGTTGGCAAGGTGGCGGACCCATTCGGAATCTGGCTGATTCAGGAGCCATATACTGCAATTTTATAGTCACCAAATCCTTATCACGGTAACTAATCGTCGTATACTCCTCACGTCAGTTCAGCGCGGATAAGTGTATATTGCTCTCTTGAATTTGATTGATTTATTGAATAATTGATTGAGTGGTTGATTGATTGGTTGAATAATTGATTGATATTTTGCATATGCTGGCAGACAAGCGATATTTCGTTTGCGCGCAGCGTCACCGTTTTACGCCGACTGTAACGAGCGAAAACGGGGCGTGATGACAAAAAGAACAATTCAAGCACTCATTGATTAACCCTTCAGCAGCGGTGGATACGTTTCTGTACGCAAATTGTTTATGCTAGCTGTGTGTAAATGCGGCCAAAATAAAGCAGGATTTTTTACTTATTATCCTAATGGAACTTTCTACACAGTCGATGTGTATTGTCTAATCCTCAAAGCAGTGCGTATACTGTAGCTGACCACTCTCGTCAGGGCACTACTATATGCGACGGCTGGTTTGACGCACCACGTTCCAGAACCAACGTCAAAAGTATTACTTTTCTAAAAAAAATGATGGCACACATATATTCGGAGCCTTTTATTTCATTCCTTTCATGTCAAAAATTAAACGTGACTGGGTGCAGAGTGATGAAGTGTTCAATTACATGCTAATCACAGCTCTTTGTTGAAACTCACAAGACGACTCATTTGTCATTTTCTTCCTCGGAACGTAAAACTTAGCGCCTTAGAATTACGTGGATTTAGCGCATTCGTTGACAGTGTATCATAACTAGCGCCTGAGAACGATGTAGGCGCGGGGTAGTGTGCCGAGAGTATGTGCGCATGTCAATTGTGCAGTGATGGTAGCCCTGGCTGATACACAGACACAGTACGTAGTCCTCACTGCAATGACTCGACGTCCACTATAGACTCCCTATGTATTCGCACGATCAGTAGCTTTATTTCCTAAGGCCTCTTACGACGATGGTTATAGCGCGAGAACAGAACGACGACGCAGAGACAAGAAGGACACGAGCGCTCGCGTCCTTCGTGTCTCTGCGTCGTCGTTCTGTTATCGCGCTATAACTATCGTCATGTCATACCAACTAGCCTAAGCTGCCACGCCTCTTACGAGCAGGGTGTGAACATAAAGTTTCCTAAAAATACACTAGGGGGAACTTTGGCGCTAGTGTCTATGGGAGCCGCAATGCATGGCGCTTCAGCGAGCATGGGAATGATGGGTAGAGTGCGAATTTGTCTAAATTTCGTTCTTTCGGCTCCGTTTATCTCCGTGTCTTCTGCATCCACATTGTCGCTTAACGAAGTTCAGCAAACGTTCGGCAGTTCCACTTACACCTCTCTAACCTTTTTAGGCTCACGAATTTAAATGTGGTCTCGAAGTTCACAACGGCCTCTTCTTTTATCCACAAAGGGACGCCAAACCACGGCAACAAACAAATACATAGATGCGTGTGAAGCCATGGATTATACCACCATTACCATAGTGTCTGAATGATTGGAGTTTCAGAGTCCCCTCTAGTAACTGTAGAGGGAACTATACGGTGCCAAGTGAAAGAGTTGATAAATGCTTGCTGTTCAAAGGATGAAGTGAGCTTCTAGCATAAGCTTGTTTTTTCGCCCCTGACGGCAGAAAACGCTGCTCCAAGCCTTATAAAATGCAGATTTCTGGCAAAGAGCGTATTTCTGCAATGTACATCTAATTAGAATTTTTAATAAGGATTTATGGTACAGTAGCGTAAATTCAGAAAAATTAAAAAAGGTGGACCCATATCTTGCCATGGCGGCTGCTTTTTTTTCATGAATGTTGTAGGTTTAGTTACTTTGTTTTACTGATATAAAAATTACAATGCCTTGAACACAAATTAAGAGATGGAAAACAGAAAAGAGCAAGGCAGGAGGTTTAACGAGAAGCAAGGATCTAGTATGCAACCCTGTACTGGGGTTGAGAGAAAACTAAAAACCAAATATGGATTCCCATTCCCAGCTCACGTGATTCCGTTGCTCTAGTGAGTCTTTTCTGAAGTTGGTCAAGCGGCAGTTGCAATTTCAATACTTTCCCGCAACTAAGACGTATTGAACGCCGGCACACACTACAATAAATAACGGTCATCAAAAAACGTTGAACCCACTATACTTACGTAACTGCCACGTCTTTCAGGTATATTTTGAGAGACACTTGATGTTTGAAAGAGAAAGTTCAAGTGGGCACACTTGCTAGGGGTGTGTGTGTGTGTGTGTGTGTGTGTGTGTGTGTGTGTGTGTGTGTGTGTGTGTGTGTGTGTGTGTGTGTGTGTGTGTGTGTGCGTGTGTGCGTGTGTGCGTGTGTGCGTGTGTGCGTGTGTGCGTGTGTGTGTGCGTGTTCCAGCCTGAGCACAAGAGGGTTCAAGAACCCCAGACCTTCACCCCCCCCCCCCTTGTGATTTGCCCCACTGGTCGTCTTGATAGGCGCAACTTTAATTCGACGGTTTCTTTCAACTATTTTCTTTTTGTTGCGATCTATACAGTATTCAGCAAGTGCAAAGCCCGCATCATTCCTCTGGTATTACAGCTGGAGAGTCTTCTGCAGAAGGCTCCCGGTCTTCTGGTAAGCACTGTCCCCGCATCATCCTAGAGTACAGTGACGGCATGCACGACTTATGCGTAACCGAATCGCCCTCTTTTTTTTTTACCTCTCATTTCCTTAGGATGTGGAGTGCGTCCAAAAAGAACTGGCCAAAGGATTCCCGCGATTCGACATCGAGTGCGTCATGAGCGACGACTACAGGGAGGTCAGTCATTCCCCCTCCCATGCTACACTCACGCTGCGAAGCACACCATTGAGTGGACCCCCGAAAGAAATGCTTCGTGACCGGAATATTTCTAGATAGGTGGCTTCTAGAAGCTCCCAGAAGCTAAGCTAAGTTTAGGAGCTTCTACACTGAATTCTTAAGCTACCGGTTCGCAACACTCATACCGTATGTTAGCACATTAGGTGAAATTAATCCGGAAAACATTTCCTCATCTACTCTTTCATTACTCTTTAATGCTATAACACTGCTACTGTTTTTTTTCTTTTGCAGATTGAAGACAGGATGATTGGCGCTGTTAAAAAATTTGATGCTTATGGAGACCCAAGCTCGTTGAGCTTTCCTTAAAACGTGTGCGTTTCCCGATAAGCCAGACGCACCGTAGCCATGTCAACAATCGAAGGCGCAGCTGCTCTAACGCCTGGCACAGCCTCGTGACGCCATTCAAAACCGCTCATGCGCAATAGCGACAACCGCGCAGCTGCTATCGTTAAGTCACGCCCGGCGACAGAATCTGGGGTCCCTAGTCCCCAGATGAAACAAGTTTCATCTAGGGACGTTAACAGAGACAACTCGCACAACCGAGTTTTGCCACTTGATCATGTACCACCATGGGACGCGCAAAGAAAGTATACTCTAAAAAATGATCGAGTAAAATGGGTGTCTCTTTGCCCCACAACAATATTCGTCAACAGGATTGCTTGCCCTTCCCATCTCGAAAACTCGGCTCTGGCCACTATCATATCAAGTATGCTATGTCCCGCCGATAACGCGCAGGGCGTTCGTGACATGCAAGGGCCAGACGCGCGGTGATAACGCTGGGGAATGAGTGCAAGACATATAAGCCGATTATTGTTGCGGGACAAAAAGACGCCGTTTTCACTCAATCGTTTAGAGCGTAAGTAGTACTCCGCCCCAAAAAAAGCAAGTGCATCGTGAAGCGAGGCTTCTCGTGGTGCGAGAATGGCAACGGCAACGACGATCGGATCCAAAAGGCGCGCCTATAGAAAAGGGAGAGCAAAAGACGACGAGAAGATACTCTGCCGATCACCGTGTGTTGAATAGGCTGCGTGTGTGCGAGCCCTGCGTCAGGATCCAGCCTACCGGAAAGCAGAGTACACGCGATTCCGTGCTCGCCAGCTTCACTGTGTCTCTATAGCTTCGAAGTATGGCAGCTTGGGTTAGTTGGTATGACGATAGTTATAGCACGAGAACAGAACGACGACACAGACAAGAAGCACACGATGGACAGCTGTCCTTAGTGTTCTTCTTGTTTCTGCGTCGTCTTCGTTCTGTTCTCACGCTATAACATTCGTCATGTCTCTATAGCCTTACGAACTCGAGTGCAAGCTTTCGCCTTTTCTTTTTTTAATTTTTTTAAGTATTCTATGCGACCCCCATGTACAACGCAGTTACCGAGTAGTGAAGTGCTCCTAGATAAACGATGACATTACATGGAGTGTCCAGGGTATACAGCTGCAGTAGTATTGCGTTTCTTTTCAGGCCATGGAATGCATGGAGGACCCAAAGGTCTTGGTGAGTGGACCCTCTGCTCTTTGCGATTTTCGCATGCGTAAATCAACGCTACGCATAGAACACAATTTACTAGAAAGCAGCATGCTGCCGACCATCTGGTTAAAGTGTAATTCCCGAACAGTTCCGTGCTCAAGCGTGGCTTGCTGGACGAGCTGCTAGCTCTCAATACGAAAGGCATCGATAGGAAAGAGCCCAGGAATATTTTTAAGGCGGAAGTTTTATACGCCCCAGGAAACGACTAATGTAAACATCGTTGTAGCGTCCGGTGTCGGCTTGACTTGTAGAAAAAAATGGCACTTGCAAAAATGCGCTTTCATCACGACGTGTCGTATCGCTTATATTTGTGACGTCATCATGACGTCGTCGCTTTACAAAGTTGTACTAATCAACGCTGTCAAAGGTGTAACGTCGAAGACGTACCAAAAGTGTACCACGTTAGCTGTGCAAACGTCTTCCAGGAGAGAGTAGGGGTGGGGGGGGGGGGCAATATAGTCGATTATGGAGCAACAAGACATGACGACGATGATGGCTTTCGTCTTCGACTCTTATTCGGTGAATGCGTAAAGTGCCACACGTTTGAGTGCAACGCAAGCACCATGACAGCGAAAGAGAACACAAGGCAACATTTATGTTCCTTTCCGTCTTCGTCGTTCTCGTCTCGTGGCACATTTAGTAGCTTTGCTGAAGACATAAACCTTGGATGCCCTAGAGGTGGGACGGTTAATTGCACACTCGCTCACGTGCTCTGACAGTGCCCGGTGTTACAAAGCACAAAGTGTGTTTAGAAAAAGTGGGTGACGATTTAGAGTACTAGGTACTCTACTATGGGAGGGATTAAAGCCATTACGTGAGCCTCACATTTGATGACCTTTGAAGTGTGTTTAGAAAAAGTTGTTAACAATTTGAGTGCTAGGTACTCCACTACGGGAGGGCAGAAAGCCGTCGTTGGGCAGTACAATGCGACAATGCTTTCTTTTAAGCACATAACAGGGCTGCTACGAGCCCTTCAAAGCTCCTAGTTCTCGGTCCAGCTATCGGCAGTCCAGGAGGCCTGCGAACGGGCGCAGGACCATGGTCTTTTGTTACCGGCGTGGGCTCGGCCAGCAACTGCGGCGGACCTCTTTTTGGGGGTTTCTGCTCGGGTTTATCCTGGAACAAATAAAATTTATTTCACCTTCACCAACTGCCCCAACTTTCAATACTAATTCGTAGGACCCTACGAGTGTTTCTTAGATTTTCCTGGTGTTCCTCCATTACCTGCCTTTTTCCTTTTTGCCTCACATTTTTTTTCGCTGCAAGAACCCTTTACGTTAGCGCGTTTAGGCGTTAAGTTATCGAGCCTTTTAAGTATATTTACGAAATGAAAAATTGCACACCTTACTTAAAAACTCCGATAAGGAAGACTGTCTTGCACACCCTAGATGTGGGCGTGCGTTAACTTGCAAATCAATTGATTATTCGAGTGATATTCAAGAACTTCATTGTTCACTACTGAAATGGGGCAGCTATCACGCTTCTTTGATCATTCAAGCTATCAGCAGTGGCGTTTCATCCGGCTACCATCCATTATGAATTCAGCGATCGACAACTATCGACCTTCTGCATGGCTTTCTGTGCACAGCGGTAACTTTGCTGTTTCGTTCGTTTTTGTTGTTTTTTATTGTTGTCTGTGTGACTATGCGTACGATGCTAGAATGACTTCAGTAAATATATTACGAGCCAGTGCTGAGACTAAGTGCACAATGCTTTGTCATCGCTCTTGCCTTTTTGTTGAATCAGCAGCTGTCTGAAAAACGAGACACGCGTTTCTTTGCGCAGGATGTACTCGGACCCAAGGTGGCCAAAGCGCTCAAACCACTTGCGGCAAGTTATCAATCTTTGTCAACAATTTTCATTTTCTAGAGCATACATCGTGGTTCTTTCAGCGAGCCCCCGCGTACAGTAATACATGGTCACCCGAAGGTCGTGGGTTCAATCCCAGCCATTAAGATCACGTTTTAGTGGAGATGGAATGATAAAGGCCCGAGTACTGTGCTATGTCAGTGCACGTCAAAGAGCACCAGATGGTCCAAAGTTTTCGGAGCCCTCCACAACGTCATCTTTCATATCATATCGCGGTTTCGAGACGTTAAACCCCACATGTTATTTTTAATAGTAGATGGCCCTTGCCGGTGGCAAGTTATCTTTTCGTCCACTTTTCTTTCTTCACGTGTACATTACAATTACTTCTAATAACATCCCTTATACATTCCTTGGTATCATTTTCTGTTCTTATTTATATTGTGTCTAGCAAAAAAAAAAAAACGAGCCCTCAAATTTACACTTCTTTTCTCAAACCACTAATGGGACGCTAAAGTGAACCACTTTATCAATTGAATATGATGAGTCCTTTTTGTATGCCATCGTCTTTGCTGTCATCGTCATAAGTTCAGCTCGTACAGAAAAATTAACCTCGATTTTTTTTTTATTTCATGCCGATGTTTCTGTAGTGCTAGATCAGGATTTTCGGTATTACTTTTGCCGATTTCCCTGTAGCTTTCTCATGTACCCCAGGAAGGAAACTAGCGAGGTCATCGAATGGCCCTTGCGCCACAAAGCACTAAACATCATCATCATCAAGGAAACTAGCGACTACTATGGTGCATTACGTCCTGTCACTCTTTGCAATCCAGTCGCTCTTCTCGAAGCTATCACCTACGTTTTATCTATGTCCGAAAACCAGCCTAATACGTAGCCGTGTCATTGGCAAACTGCAGACCTGTAGTGATCATGCCATGACAGTTTTTTTTTTCTCCGTAACTTTTGTCAACTAGGTCGAAAGCTTCATTGATAACAGAATTCCTCCCAATACGCGCGTTAAACACTTGTCGATTATTTCAGTGGACGCATTTTTGGTCGTCGATGAACTGCGCGCGTGACAGAGAGCAGCCGGCCGGCGTTGCGATAGCGAATCTCTGAGCACTGCCGTTGTTTCGCAGAACGAAGTCATAATTTAGTCGAGTCTCTGAACGCTGCCATTGGTGGTAGAACAAAGTCGTAATTTAGGTGAGTCACGATCAACCTTTCGTCTGAATTTTTTTTTGTTGTAGTGTCGTTACGTAAAGTTTTTGGATATGTTTTTTTTATTTCAGCACGTTCCGTACAGAGGTGTGCATCTAACTACAATTATGGGGTTGTCTTTTTGTACGTGATGTTTCAGACTTTCCTGTGATTCCTTCCTGCTAAATTTCTCAACCCGTTCGTTTACTCTGAGCAGACTTTGCTGTGCTTCCGTCCTGGTAAATTTTCCGTACGCGTTCGTTCACTCTGATCACCAAGTGCTAGTTCACTTAGGGCTCAATTCAAGCAGACACACACAGAAGAAAGAAGCCCGGAGTATAACGTGCTCTTGTCTGACCAGCTTAGCCAGACCGTTGGGAAGTGGATGGTTTATTGACTGGCGAATCTACTCTAAGCTGAGCCAGAAACACAGCCATTGCTATGGACTCCTATGTAGTCGAGGGTTCATTTATACTAACAAAAAAATCCTGAAGCGCATACAGCGCAAGCGGCCAACCGAGCGTCAATCTGTGATCGATATACGAGGTAAGTGGTGTTTTTGTTGAAACCATGCAGCCGTCCGCAAAACCATGGAATGTCAGTCTAGATTACGAATACATGAAATTGTTCCAAAGCGCTACATGCCAGTCAGGTACAGGCTCGCATAAGCTTTATACTAACAGGCTTAAATGGTTCTACTTTTGCAGACTTGCTTCAAGAACGTGCCACCACCTCCCGCTTGATGACGCCTAGTGTGTGGGGGCCAAAGTGCAGTGATGCACTTCGCCAGAGGACTTGGCTGTAGAACTTTTGGAATACAGGTGACGGTTGCGATGTCCCAAGGAACACTGGAACCTGTATTTCCACCCAGCGGGATCGGCCAAGAATATGGTTGATATAAACAAGAACGACTTGACTTGTCCTGCAATTCATAGCACGCATTAAATTGATTAGGTATTCTTAATAAGCGTTCAAACTAGCATGTTTAATCAGCCCTTTTGAGTAAATGCTTTAAAAGATATAAGAAACAGAAAATACCGCACAAACACTTCTCTTTTCATCCTTCTCGTTTCTTGTGGCAAGCCTATAGTATTTACAAACGTTAGCTCCTAGGTGGGAACGCAGCCCAGCAGGCGGAAATCAATAAACGTTTCCTTTCCTTTTGCAAAAGAGGTGTCCGGAATGTTAGTTTGAACTCTACATAACTTTTCGCGTGTCTTTGCCTTCTTGGCAAAGTGGCTGCACAAAGTCCTACAACGAATTAAAGTTTCCCAAACCATATTATGCTTGTTGATTGTTAAGTAGGGTTGAACGTCCCAAAACCAGCATATGATTATAAGAGACGCTGTTGTGGAGGGCTCCAGAAATTTCGACCACCTGGATTTCTTTAACGTACACCCAAATCTGAGCACATGTTATAATTGTAATAAACAAGTGCGAGGTGCGCGGCAACAGTATTTCTTTCTTAATTTTTGCATTTTTAGGTATTCACTTGCAATGCCCGTGAGTATCAAGCAGAAAATGATTCAAAATACTTTAGAGCACACGGCATAGTTTAAACTCACTAACGTATATACTTAAGACTTCAGTCGTCAATTTACTCTATATTGGGCAACATTCGGGTAACATATGGAAAACACATATAAAGGTTTTACAATACACTATATATTGTCAATAATAATTATGACAGATTAGTATAAAAACACTTACAAAAACACTCTCTCTGTACTAGTCGGAGACTTCAACCGTCAACGTAGACACATTAGGACCTATAGCTTCGCCCAATCGTCATTATACATTTCGCGGAGATGCATGGATCTTTTTTTTTTCATCACACCTCGAGTTAGGAGGACTTAGTGAATAGCTAGTGGTGTTGTTTCAACTTGTTTGCCCCGCCGTGGTGGTCTACTGGCTAGAAGGTACTCAGCAGCTGATCCGCAGGTCACGGGATCGAATCCCGGCTGCATTTTCGGTGGAGGCGCAAATGCTGTAGGCCCGTGTGTTCTGATTCGGGTGCACGTTAAAGGGAACAAGGCGATCGAAATTTCCGGAGCCCTCCTTCTATACGGCGTCTCTCATAATCACACGGTGGTTGTGGGACGTTAAACCCCCACACGTCAATGTTTCAACTGGTTTGAGTAAGTGCGGAAGCACGTTGTTGAACTATCGGCGTTGTGTGTATTATCAGCGCTTAGAGGTGTATAGTGCGTCCAGTCATCCCCATGGGCATTCGCAGTGCTACCAAACCGGATTGCGGCACCCCTGTCAGCGGGTGTGACTGAACGAGCATTTCTAATGCTTCTCGCTGTTCGTGTTTCATTTGATGCCGATGGTGCAGTCGTGCGCTATGTGAAGGTTGTCGCGTGAGCATGCATCGACCTGCCTAACGGCCCAGGGACTTACAAGTGTGGCAGCTTGGGCTAGATGGTATGGCATGACGATAGTTATAGCGCGAGAACAGAACGACGGCACAGAGAGTTAGCACTCGTGTTCGTCGTGTCTCTGTGTCGTCGCTCTGTTCTCGCGCTAGAACTATCGTCATGCCCCAGGGACCGAGCGGTACGTATCGAAGCAGTGAAAATCAAGATAACGCAGTCTTTTTTTTTTCTCGTTGACTGTTCCATGCATGCTACTGCGATCACCCCTACGAACTCTACACCTTCTCTCTCTACTTTGACCCTTCCATTTGTTGTGATCAACTGTATTTTTGTTGACTCTTATCTACCCGCGCAAATACAAAATTATTGGGAAGGGCGTGTTTAAAGCTGGTTATTGGCACTGCTTCGCACAGATTCCTGAGACGGGAGTGATCGCACCCTATAGGAAACATCAGAAAGAGTGAGCGACGCTTGTGTTTCGCCACCCTCTCCTAGAAGTGGTATTCTGATACGTGGCGCAATTGTAGTATCTCAATCGTTGCTCACGCGATAACCTTCGAATCACGCTAGACTGTACATGCCCGTGCTGTCGCGGCTATTTATCTCCACGTGGCTGTGTTGTGCTCGATATCTTTCTTTTCGTCACGACGAGTGGAAGAAATAACCGACCGAGCATTTTTCAGTAATGCGCTAGGCTCGTTTTGTGAAATTGCCTCATCACCCACTGTCCATGGCCGCATGATCCTGTGAACAACATGAGCAGATCGTGACTCTGACGTTAGCTCGAGCGCAATAGGTGCGAAAGTGCACCCGTAGGCATCAGAAAAGGTATCACTGTTACCTCGCTCTGCCAGTGCGAGGTACTAAGGTTGTTAACTGTAACTGATCGCGCGCGTTAGAGTCCACATCAAGTGTAGTGACAGAGCGAACAGCGAGCCTCAGAAGAAATCCAGAACGCGGAACCAGAACTGCAACAATGTGGAGGTACCGGAAGCGAAGTACCGGCGAGACGGAGCGGTGATGCGCATTAAAGGTAGAGACCAGTTTTCAAAACAAGAAGTGACTGTGGTATTACGCCACACCATCAAATTTCGCAATGGCGGCATTTGAAGCCAATCAAGGAGGCCGTAGCAGCCTTTTAGGTCAGTCGGGCTCGACCAATGGCGGAATTCGACAACGTGGCAGAATTTGACAATGTCCAGAACAGCAACGAACAACGGTGTGGGCATGAGGTTTTGGGACACAACGTGCGCATCTCGAAAGCGCCTTCTAGACAGGGTGCCGTTTCCGAGGTATCGTCGTGGTTAGTTTTATTATTTTTTTTTTTCGATGACTCCCTGAAAATCATAGGCCCGCCACCATGGTACTGTTCGTTGCCCTAAATTACGCATTTGGCGCTTCAGATTGCCAGACAGACACCGAGAGTTGCATCTATTGTCCAGATGCTCTCTTAAATTGCGCCTGCATGGCGGTTATGAATGTTCTTCAGGCTAAGGTAATCTATCCAGGCATTTCCAGAGCTTATACCGTGCGCCATGTTGTCACAAGAAATTTTGGTGATACCGGCATCTCATGGGCTCGTATCTACACCAGCTCACCACTGTCAACATGGCTGGAAATAACTTCATTAAGGTAAAACCGCTCACTTATCTGCTAAGTTATCAAATTTAAGGGTACGAGCTTGTCTTCCGTACGGCTCACCAACGCTCCACTGGAAAACAAACATGCCGATCTGTATGATCACAACCAGGCAGATATAGTGCAATTTATTCAAAAAAAATCTTTGTAGATCATTGAGTTTCGCGTTAAAGATTAGAAAAACCCGATACCGTAATTGGTATCCAGCGTTCCTTAAGCTATAGCCTTGCTTTCGGTTCTCGGTGCGTGCCTGAACCGTGCCGCAAAAAAAAAAAGAAAACGAGCGTCTGCTGCGCGTAACATTTGAAACTATCCTATGCAATTCATGATGTGATAATTGTTGCGAAGTACGCACTTCACCATAACTTGTCCTTTTGCGAATCGGCGTATGCGCTATGTAGCAACTAAACATACGCGTCTGTAAGGCAACACGCGAACCCATCCTGGCTGCTGATTTTGTCGATGATTTTGCTGCTGACTGATAATTAAGTATATCTGGCCGCTTTGTGATTCGCCAGTCTATATATATACATCACTCACTTTGTTGATGCATTGACTGCTGATGATCAATAGGTCTCGGCGTATCTGATTCGTCGGCATTTACACCACTCATGTTGTCGATGCTTTTGCTGCTGATGTTGATAAAGGTATGTCCGCGTGCTTTGTAATTCGAGGGCCTTCATTTCACTTACTCATCGTGCAATGCACATGCGTTCACGCCTGACGCGACTCTTCTGCCACGCAACACAACGAGCCCTCGCATTGGACGACATTTGTATAGGGCAGGGGCTCTCAAGCATGTGGGTGCCTGGAAACCCTTCTAAGCTACATTAAGTGCCAAGAGCCACCCACCACCGCTCCCGAGCGAGCTCTTTTCATTTTAGGGGCGAGGCTCCTTAAGCCGTGGGTCGTGCGTTCCCGATGTACGTATGTAGTAGTAGCAGTAGTAGTAGTAGTAGTAGTAGTAGTAGTAGTAGTAGTAGTAGTAGTAGTAGTAGTAGTAGCAGCAGTAGTAGTAGTAGTAGGTAGCCACCTCTCGTTTAGCTCTTGAAATGCCTGCTGGATGGTTGTACTTTATATGATGAATACAAGGATTAGAGACCAAACTATAGGGATGGGAACTTGGCTTCAACCTCTCTTTCGTCAAACAAAAAAAAACTCATTTAATAGGCACTACCAGCATTGATGTACGCAGATGATACAGTGCTAATGACCGACAACAAGGAAAATTTGCAGAGATTGATCGACATATGTGGTAATGAGGGAGATAGGTTAGATTTCAGACACAGTAAGGAAAAAAACAGCAGTCATGATTTTTAATGATAATGATGGTAGTGAGCATATAATACAAAGGTCACGCTAAAGATCACAATACAAATATCTCGGCATATGAATAAGCAATGGGACCGAGTACATAAGGGAACACGAATTATACGTGACGCCTAAAAGTAACAGGAATGCAGCAGTGATGAAAAATGGGGCACTGTGGAATTACAATAGATATGAGGTTGTGAGAGGAATATGGAAAGGGGTCATGGTTCCTGGTCTGACGTTCTGCAATGCAGTCTTGTGCATGAGGTGAGAAGTTCAAGCAAGATTAGGAATTAAGCAACGTGGAATGGGTAGGCTTGCGTTCGGAGCTCACGGGAATACACCAACTCAGGGAGTAGAAGGTGATATGGGATAGACATCAATTGAGGACAGGGAAGCTAGCAGCAAGATAAAAT